TGCTGCTGCTGCTGCTGCTGCTGCTGCTGCTGCTGCTGCTGCTGCTGCTGCTGCTGCTGGTGTCTCCAGCCACACTTGGATGGGCAAGGCTCCGGGCAATGTCAGTTCTGTGAAGGCACAACCACACCATCCCAGAGGGCCACACAAAGACATCCAACCACACCATCCCACAGGGCCACACAAAGACATCCAGGTGTTTGTGATCCAAAGTATTTCCAAGTGCCCTTTTCTTTGATCTTATCTTTCATTTTCTACGATCACATCTTTAATTTGTTTGGGGACACACACGCACCCTACCCACTCACACAAATACATAAAGCAAATTGAAAAGCACATCAGTAAGTAGAAGAAATCCCTCCCGTTCCGACGAGTCTAAACAAAAAACTCCACGGCCATCAGACTCTGAGTGACTCCCCTGTGGGTTTCCGAGAGTGCAACTGTTTAAGGGAGTAGAAAGCCCAGTGTCTCTCTCCGGTGGAGTGCTGATGATTTCAAACTGCCAACCACGCAGCTCGCCGCCCTATGCGTAGCCACGGCACCGCCAGGCCTCCCATCCCATTTGGAAAGGTTTGCCATTTGGAAAGGTTTGACGAGGCGAACTGGAGAGGCCATCAGGCTGGACCCCAGGGTCCAGGGTCCTGGGACGTCCCCGGCGCGCAGGCCTGGGAGCGATTCCGCCAGGGCTTGCTTTCTCCTCTCGCCCCACAGGCTCGGGGAAAACCACGTTGCTGGACGCCATGTCCGGGCGGCTGCGGCGCACGGGGACCTTCCTGGGCGAGGTGTGCGTGAACGGGCGCGCGCTGCGGCGGGACCACTTCCAGGACTGCTTCTCCTACGTCCTGCAGGTGGGCGCGTCCCCGCGGGCCCCGCCCGGGCGGCCCGGGGCCTGGGCGACGCTGACGCCCCCCTCTCCCGCAGAGCGACACTCTGCTGAGCAACCTCACGGTGCGGGAGACCCTGCGCTACACGGCGCTGCTGGCCATCCGCCGTGGCTCCCGGGGCTTCTTCCAGAAGAAGGTGGGTGCTTGCAGTGGCTCTGGGCGGTGGGCTCGGGCCCCAGCAGGCTCCCTCAACCCGAGACCCAACGTCGCCCAATGGCTTGGCACCCCATCTTTTACCTACTCACCTTCACTCATTAGAGTGGACCCGTCCCCTTTACCCCTCCAACTTTTATCACTACAGTCTAGACCTGACCTGTGCCATACACAGCGCTCAAAGCCACTCTCACTGCCACTGTGTCATTCCAACTCACAGTGGCCCGAGAGGGCTGGGTCGAATAATCGCCTCCAGAGGTTTCTGAATCTGTAACACTTTAAGGGGATTAGCAAACCTCTCTCCCTGCGAGAGAGGCCCATGGTTTCACACTTGATCCTTCCATGCATAACCATTTCCCAACCAGGGCTCCGAAATAGCCCCTGTGGGGGATGTGGCTGTTGCTTGGGGCCTGCTAGTCAGTTCCATCTCCTGTCCATCAGAACAGAACAGGTGGGGTCCTGCACCATTTGTCTAACTGTTCCTGTTTGAGCCCCTGTGGCAGCCACCGGGTCAGTCTGTCCATCTTGTCCAGGACCTTCTTTTTTGCTGCCCCTCCACTTTCGTACTTGAGACCAGGTCTCACCATCCTTGCTTCTGGCTGGAAGCATCCTGGCTGTACTTCTTCCGAGAGAGAACTGTTTGTTCTTTGGGCAGTCCTTAGTACTTTCCATATTTTTGGGGCCAACATCATAATTCAAATGCTTTGACGTTTCTTCACTCTTCCTTACTCAATGTGCAACTTTCACGTGGATAGGAGGCAACTGAAAAGGCCCCGGCTTGAGTCAGACACACCTAACTCCTCAAAGTGCCATCCTTGCTTTTTTTGACACTGTAAAGAGGTTTACCTAATGTTCGCTCATTTGATCTCTTGACTGCTGCTTCCCATGATTGCAATTCCAAGCAAGGTGCAATCCTGGACAACTTCCATCTTTTCTCCTTTTATCATGATGTTACCAATTGGTCCAGTTGTGAGGATGTTGGTTTTCTTTACACTGAGTTGTAATCCATCCTGAAGACGGCAATCCTGGCATCCATCAGCAAGTGCTTCAAGTCCTCCTCACTTTCACCAAGCAAGGTTGTGCCATCTGCCTATGGTGTTGGTGTTAGGGGCTATCACGTCTGTTCCGACTCATAGCACCCCTGTGCACAACAGAGCGAAACACTGCCCGGTCCTGCGCCACCCTCACAATTGCTCCTGTGAGCCCATTGTTGCAGCCTCCGCGGCGATCCATCTTGTTGAGGGCCTTCCTCTATTTTGATGATTCTCCACTTATCAAACAGGGCGTCCTTCTCCAGGGATTGGTCCCTCCTAAAAACAGGTCCAACATATACAAGACAAAGTCGCACTATCCTTGCTTCTAACGAGCACGCTGGTCATACTTCTTCCAAGACAGATTTGCTTGCCCTTTTAGCAGTCCATGGTACTTCCAATAATCCCCAGCGCCACAATGCAAATGCAGCCCTTCTTCTTTGGTCTTTCTTATTTAATGGCCATCTTTTACATGCACCTGAGGCAATTGACAATACCATGGCTTTGGTGTTTTCCTTTGGTATTTGGCTTCATCCTCAGGTAACATCTTTGCTTTTTAACCCTTGAAAGAGGTCTTGTACCCAATGCAACATGTCTTTTGGTGACTTGACTGCTGCTTCCATGAACATTGGTCGTGGATCCAGGTAAGACCAAGTCCTTGACAACTTCGATCTTTTTGCTATTTAGCTTGATGCTGCCTATTAGTCCAGTTGCGAGGATTTGGGCCTTCTTTACATTGAATTGTAATTAGTACCGAAGGCTGCAGTCCTTGATTTTCACCAGCTTCAAGTCCTCACTTAAGCAAGCTAGGTGGTGTTATATATATATTACAGGTAGTTAACAAGCCTTCCTCCAATCCCGATGCCATATTCTTCTTCATATACTCCCGCTCAACATACAGACTGAACAAGTATGGTGAGAGGATACCACCCTGATTCACACCTGTCCTGATTTTACACCATGTAGTATTCCCTTGTTTGGTTCACATAACTACCTCTTGATCCATGGGCAGGTTCTGCATGAGGACAATGACGTGTTCAGAAATCCCCATTCTTTTCAAGACTAACCATAGTTTGTTATGGTCCACACAGTGGAATGCCTCTGGAGAATCAATTAAACACAAGTAAATATCTTTCTGGTACTCTCTACTGTCAGCCAAGATCCATCCGCTCCGTCAGCAATACAATTCCTCACTCCACGTTCTCTTCTGAATCTCGCCTGAACTTCTGGCAGTTCTCTGTCAACGTGCTGCTGCACTTTTTGTTGGGTGAGCTTCGCAAAAGTTTACCTGCATGTGATATCAACGATCTTCTTCTATAATTTGAACATTCTGTTGGGTCACCTTTCTTTGGAATGGGCACAGATATGGATCTCTTCCAATTCAGTTGGCCAAGTAGTGTCTTCCAAATTTCCTGGCATAGATAAGCGAGCGCTTCCATGCATTATGAGCTTGTTGAAAGGTTTCCGTTGGTATTCCCTCAATTCCTGGAGCCTTGTTTATGGCTAATGTTTCTGGTGCAGCTTGAAATTCTTCCTTCAGCACCATTGCTTTTTGCGTATACACTACCTCTTAAAATGGTTGAATGCCGAGTAGTTCTTTTTCGGTACAGTGACTGTGTATTTTCTCCATCATCTTTTGATGCTACCTGCATCATTTAATATTTTTCCATAAACCGATCACAATGATTGACATATAACCCCCTTTCAGGAGGACAGACAGAAATGTGGGTGAAGGGAGACAGTGGTCGATATAAGATATGAAAAATTTTTTTATAAATTGTCAAAGGTTAATGAGAGAGGGTGGGGAAAGAAAGTAGAAAGAACATGTTTTGGGAATGATGATGGCAACATATGTACAAATGTGCTCGACACAATGGAAGTAAGTATGGATTGTGATAAGAACTATAAGAGCCCCCAATAAATAATTTTTTGAAAAAAATATTTTTTTCCATAGATTCTTTAAATACTGCAACTTGAAGCTTGAGAGTTTTTTCTTGAGTTATTTCTGTTGAAGATATGCTAAGCCTGTTCTTCCTTTTTTGTTCTCTAACTCTAGGTCGTTGCACATTTCATGATAATATTTGCCTTTGATTTCTTGTACTGCGGCCCTTTGAAATTTTCAACTCAGCTCTTTGACTTCATCATTTGTCCCATTTTCCTTATCTACTCTCCCATTAAGAGAAGTTTCAGAGTCTCTTATGACCGCCACTTTGATCTTCTCTTTCTAATGGTTTTTTGCTTTCTTCGTGGGTGATGTTCTCAATCGCCTCCCAGAGCTCCTCAGGTCTTCTGACTTTAGTGTTTAATGCATCAAACCTGTCCTTGAAATGCTCTTGAAATTCAGGTGGGATAGACTCAAGGCACTTGCATTTTGGCTCTAATGGACAGGCTTCAATTTTCTTCCACTTCAACCTGAACTTACACATGAGCAATTGATGATCTGTTGCGCAGTCTGACACTGGCCTGGTTTTAGCTGCTAATATTGATCTTATCCATAGTCTCTTCCCACAGATGGAGTCAGTTTGATTTTTGTGTATTCCTTCTGGAGAAGCCCATGTGTATAGTCACCTTTTGTGTTGTTGAAAAAGGATATTTGTGATGAACAAGTCCTGGGTCTTACAAAATTCTATCATGCAAACTCCAGCATGGTTTCTATCAGCAAGGCCATATGATCCAACTACTGTTCCTCCCTCTTTTTTTCTAATCTTTGCATTCCAAATGGCCACTGATTCTCTGTGCATCTTGGTTGCATGCTTGATAAATTTCACACTGAAGATGTTCGTAGAATTCTTCAATTCCTTCATCACTAGCTTTAGTGGTTGGTGCATAAATTTGAATAATAGTTATATTGGCTGAATTTCCTTGTATGCAGGTAGACATTATCCTATCACAGACAGCATTGTACTTCAAGACAGCTTGAAACATCCCTTTGACAATGAACGCAAGGCCATTCCTCTTGCTGTGTCATTCCTGGCATAGTAAGCCATATGATGTTCTGACTCAAATGGCCAAGACCAGTCCCTGCCGGCTCACTAACACCTGGAATATTGACAGTTATGTACTCCATTTCATTCTTTATGACTGCCAATATTCCCAGATTCATGCTTCATGTATTCCAAGTTCTGATTATGAGTTGATGTCTGCAATTGTTTCTTCTTATTCTTTTTAAAATCATGTTATTGGGGCTCTTACAGCTCTTATCACAATCCATATATAGTTCCATTGTGTCAAGCTCATTTGTACGTATGTTGCCATCATCCTTTTCAAAACATTTTCTTTCTACTTGAGCCCTTGGTATCAGCTCCTCATTTCCACCCCCCCCCCCCACTCCACCCCCCACACACCATCCCACCGTCATGAACCCTTGATAAATGATAATTATTATTTTCATATGTTTCTTCTTAATGTGAGTCATGCCCCACCAGCAGATGAAGGTCCCGATGACTTCGTTCCTGCAGGTTTACTCTTCCATTATGGAGTACTTTATGGTCAATGGAGCCATTATGGTCCACGCTACTCTGAGAAGGCGGCTCTTCCTCAGGCATATTTGGAGTGCCTTCTGACCCGAGGGGCTCATCTTCTGGCCCTGTCTCTGACAGTGGTTAGCTTCTGTTCTTTTGGTTTTCGATAACTTACAATGTTACCATAGGATATTCAATGGCTAATATCTCTGAAGTGGACAGTCTAATCCTTCTTCGTAGTCTATTCTTTGTCTGGAAGCGCTACTGGAACTTGTTCACTGTGGCTGACCCTGCTGGTATTTGAAATATTAATGACATAGCTTTCATGGTCAGCAACACACAAGCCACTACAGCGTGACAAACTGACAGACAAGTGGACACGGCGATTGTGGGATGAGACAGGACCAGGCAGTTTCTTCCTGTTGTACATAGGACCACTATGAGTCGGAACTGACTCACACGACACCCCACAGCAAGAGTGGCTTTTGAGCACGTAAACTGATACTAGTGCTCGCTGAGATGTGCTGTGGTGCTGTGGGTTAACAATGGGCTGCTGAAAACTGCAGGCCAGTGGTTCAAATCCACCTGCTGCTTCTCAGGAGAAAGAATAGGCGGTGCCTTGGAAACCTGATGTAAAGCCACTTCAAGGTCCCATCGACCGCATGGCACCAGTGGGTGATGGGAGGGGTCAATCAGATGCTGTCGCATGTGCATGTAGCATCTGTGGACAGGGCACTCCCATCCCCCTTCGAGCCCCTGCCCAGCCACTGATTTTGGTAGCTTCAGTGTTCTCCATCGAGAAAGTTGGATCTGGTGACCCAAAGGTTCTTTCTGAGATTCTGTGAATTCCGCTCTTAAAAATGCTTGGAGAGGTGAAGGAAGTTTCTGGCTGGGGCCTGAGCCACCCATCCCTTCAGGCTGGGCGGGGCGAGCCTGTGCCTCTGCTCTGTTGATGTTACACAGCAGACAAAAAGGAGACTCAGGAATCTGCCCTGGTCAGTGGGTGCAGAGACCCTGAAGCTCACTTCTGATGATCTGCCACCCTGATGACAAGAGGATGTTTTACTTTTGACCAGGACAAATAATACTAGTTTCCATATGCATTTTTATTCTCCATCACGGTATCGGTTGGAGCTTTTCAGAGCCTGTAACCATATACTGCTTTGCATTCCTTCCGTCATACATATGCATGTTAACTCATCAGTTCCAGATGTGTCCCTGCTTTCGGTGAAAACTTCATTTAAACTGTCACCCCAGCCCGGAATTTCGTTCCAGACATCGTCCTCTCTTTCACTGTCATCCAGATTGTTTGGATTATTAATGCAAAGTTTTGATTCTCTATTTCATTATAAGAGTAACACAATCTCATCGGGGATGTAAAGGAACAAAACTTATTACCATCTAAGTATTCGCAGGCTCTCTCCACCCTCATTTCCTCCCAAGGTCTTATGCAAATGGGGTAACTAGTCAGGAGAGGCCCAGAAACAGGGCGTTCAGCTGAGTCTCCGGAGAAAAGATAAACTGAGGATGGAAGCGGAGATGAGGAGGAAAATTTTAGCCTCCTTGATTAGAAACTCAGGAGAGAATTTGTATAGTTGTCTTGTTGGGGGGAGTGTTGAGAATGGAGGGAGAGAGATTTCAGCGAGCAGCGGGGGAGAGGTAGAGGAAGGAGACTTGGGAAAAGGAAATGTTAAGTGTGACTGTGCATTATAAAAGGGGTCCGCTTTAAGATCCTTAAAGGGATTAAAATGATTTTTAATGCTACTTAGTTGACTGGACCATAGGGGGACTCCAGCATCTGCTTGGATTAAGGAGGGGAAAACTGGGTTTGTTGTGTTAGTTAGGTGTCATGGGGTCTGTTCTGAGTCATAGCGACCCCATGTGGGTGAGCAGAGGTGCCCCACAGGGTTTTGTAGACTGTAATCTTCACAGCAGCCTTTTCTCTTGGAACCCCCAATCTTGTGATTAGTAGCCGAGTGCTTAACCTGTGCACCCCAAGGCCTTCTTGAAAACAGGTCGGGTTCAAACCGAGTTGGAATTTCATAGACGAGGCTTGCTTTTCCCAGGGTGGGGCGAATCGGATCATGGCCCCGGCTCTAGGGAGGCATGCCGCTTCTCCACCCCAGCCCATCACTGGCCCAGCAGCCACCGCCTCTCTCTGACTCCTCATGTCCCTGCAGGTGGAGGCAGTGATGGCAGAGCTGAGTCTGAGCCACGTGGCAGATCAGATGATTGGCAACTACAACTCGGGGGGCATTTCCAGTGGGGAGCGGCGCCGAGTCTCCATCGCAGCCCAGCTCCTCCAGGATCCCAGTAAGTGGGCCCCGGAAGAGACTGGTTACTGCCAAGGTATCTCCCAATGGGTCTGCAGAACTTCAGGCCCTTCCTTCTCAGTCTCTGTTCGGGAAGGGATTCACGTTAAACTGTAGGTACTGATGTTTTTCAAACTGGGAGCCCGTTCTTTTCCTCTAATACGGTATTGCATTTCTTTAATACTCTATTCCGGGTCAGAAGCCCTGGTGGTGGTGTGCACTAAACTGCTAATGGAAAGGGCAGCAGTTTGAACCCACCAGCTGCTGTTCAAGTAACAGGCGAGCCCGACTGCTCTGGTAAAGATTTAGCCTCAGGAACCCCAAAGGCAGTGCTATAAGGTCTATCCTATAGAGTCACCGTGAATAGGAGTCCTCTCAGTGGCAAGGATTTTTGTTCATGTGTTTTCATTCCAGGCATTCCAGGGACTTATCCAAGTTCAAAACACTTCTGAACATGGACGCATTGCATTTGCACTTGGGTACACGAGGCCGTACCCTGGCCCCACTCGTTTCTTACTAGAGCACCAGAGAAGCCAGCGAGCTTTGTTGTGGCTCAAAGTGGTTGCGACATGACCAGCAGTAACACACTCAAAAGCCTACCTGTTTGGGAGGGAGGGAGCGGGTCACCTGCTCCCCCTGCCTAACTTGGTCATTCTCCCACCACCTGGGCAGCCTCCCTGCTTCTGTGAACCTGGAAGAAGGCATCTCGTGTCTGGGTAATTTCTTGATCCAGACTGCCTGCTCTTCCGATGCATGTTCTTAAGGGTCTGGTTCACCTTTGGGGTAGAAATATAGCTAAATGCCTTAGGGAACCTTAATGCTGCTCAGTGTTCATGGGTCAGATTTGTTTTGATTTTTGCAGACCAACTTGTTGGTATTGGGAAGTTGTTATAGTCTGGAAAAGGGGTGGGGTTTCTTCAACCTCTTGCCCTTTAAAAACCAATAACCCAGCAGCCATTGTGCTCAGTCGGGGTCCTCTGGGCAGAACCCAGACAGCCTATAGGACCGAGCCAGAGGGGAGCCCTGACTTGGGCTGCTTCTCTGTCCCTTCAAGTTCAAGGCCCCAATGTATTCTAGAACCAGGGGCCAAGCCTCCATGCTCAAGAACTTTCTCCTGGGTCCTGGCTGCAAGCCAGTTCACAGGCAGCTTACCTCTCACCAGGCAGTTGGGGTGGGGCCAAGACAGCTCGAGCAAGGAATGTTCCACCTCCTGAGTTTTCAGCTCAGACCCCAGGCTCAGCAGGGCTCACCTGTCTACTTTGTGCACAGAGATCATGCTGCTTGATGAGCCAACCACAGGCCTGGACTGCATGACTGCCAATCAGATCGTCGTCCTCCTCTCAGAGCTGGCTCACAGGGACCGCATCGTGATCCTCACCATCCACCAACCCCGCTCCGAGCTCTTCCAGGTACGGCCGTACCTCTTGCACCTGCTCAGCCAGCCAAGGGCAGGTCTGAGAGCACTATGCTGGGAATGCTGGTTGCTGTCAAATCAGTTCCTACTCATATGAGCCGAGGAGAAGAGCACCCTGGGGTTCTTTAAGGCTATGATCTCCCAGAAGCAGATCACCAGACCTTACTTCCAAGGTGCCCGTGCATGGGTTTGAACTGCCAACCTTTTTAGTTGACCATTGGCACCACCCAGGAATTCCTGGGGCAAAGATTTCAAACCAAATTCACTGCTGTTGAGTCAATTCCGCCGGATATCAACCCTACAGAGGAGACCTGTCCTTGTGGGGTTTTGAGATCATTCATCTTTCAAAAGCAGACAGCTCCATCTTTCTTCCATGGAGCCGCTGGTAGGTTTGAACTGCCGACCTCGCAGGTAGCAAGCCCACACTTACCTGATGGTGCCACTAGAGCTCCTCAACAGCCCCAAGGGGCCAGACAAAAGATGGAAATGACTTTTCCCCCCAGCACCTACCATGGACTAAACTCTTTCTACAAACAAAGCTCATTTAATCCCATGAGGTTGTATTCAGAATATCCACTTTATAGAAGTAAAGAGATTTAGAAATGATATGAAGTTGAAATAACAGTTGGTAAAAAGCTGGAAATGCCACTCCCGGCTGAATTATTTTTGGAGATAATTTTTCTATTAGATCCTATAGCCAAACTCGTGGCCAATCGAGTCAATGCCGAATCATAGTGAGACCAGAGGACAAGGGGGAACACCTCTGTGAGCTTCAAAGACCGTAACTCATTATGGGAGTAGAAAGCCCCATCTGTCTCCCACGGAGCAGCCGGTGGTTTTGAACTATGGGCTTTGCGGATCACAGTTCGGTGGGTAGCCATTATGTCAATAGGGTCTCCAGTACCCTATTGAAATGCATTGTGGTCTTGGGGGTGCTGGCTTTTAGTGACCCTGTGGGACAGAGTGGAAATGCCCCGTAGGTTTCCAAGGCTGTGATCTTGATGGAAGCAGACGGCCACAATGAGCAGTTAGGGGACTTGAACCACTCACCTTTTGGTTTGCAGTTGGTTGTTTAACCATTGCACCCCCAGGCCTCCTTCAGGGTCCTGGTAAACTAAACCCATGCCACTGAGTCACTTCCAACCCTTAGGGATCCTGTGGGGTAGACTAGAATTACTCCATGGGGTTTCTGAGACCGTGCATCTTTATAAGAGCCAAGCGCCCATCCTTCTCCTGAGGAATGGCTGGTGGGTTTGAACTACTGACCTTGAGGTTGGCCGCCCAAGACTGAGTCCACAGTGCCATCAGGTCATCTTCAGGATCCTATCATGTAGAGCAGCGGTTCTCAACCTGTGGGTTGTGACCTCTTTGGGGGTCGAACGACCCTTTCATAGGGGTCGCCCGATTCATAACAGTAGCAAAATTATAGTGATGAAGTAGCAGCAAAAATAATTTGATGGTTGGGGGGGGGTCACCACCACCTGAGGAACTGTATGAAAGGGTCTCGGCATGAGGAAGGTTGAGGACCACTGATGTAGCTAATATTCAACTCTTATAGATGAGGACCTGAGACTAAAACAGTGCAAGAACGACGAGACAAGAGGAGCGTGCTATAATGTGGTGGAATGGCTGGACTCAAAACTAGATCTGGTGGCTCTCCTCTGGCACTTGTGACGTGAGGGTCAGGGGACAGCACGGGCTGCAGAGGCAACCTGGGCTGAAACAAACGAAGGACTGCGGGGTACCCGGGCACTCTGTGGGCTCTGGTGCATGACTGTGATAGAGGACTGGCTGACTGGAGACTTACTTGCCTTTGCGATGTGATGGCGTGATGACACACCTACACTAACCCTGTCTGTTGTCCAATCAGCTCTTTGACAAAATCGCCATCCTGAGCCACGGGGAGCTGGTGTTCTGCGGCACACCCGCAGAAATGCTTGACTTCTTCAATGGCTGCAACTACCCTTGTCCTGAGCACTCTAACCCCTTTGACTTTTACAGTAAGTGTCCTTCATATTCCCCATCATGGATGCCATGAGCACTTGTAGGATGTGTTTTTGCTTTTGACTTGGGGTTTTCAAATGTTTTGTTTTGTTTTGACTCTACTCATCAAGGGATGACTTGGCTGGGTCAATGAACTTGCCATTGATGCCCTATCAGAATATGGTGGGCAATCTCTCTCCATTGAGTTGGTGCACTCCCACTTCATTAGAGAAAAATTAATCAAGCTTCTAAACTCTCCCAAACAGCCCCAAAGGATTCCCTTGGCCCTGCTGAGTAACTCTAACATACTCTGATATTATAGGTGGTCATTAAGAACAGATTTTATCTTAGTCTAAGAACAGTTAGTTCTTATGAAGTGGCCCTGCTCAATACTGGCCCTCATGAAGGCATCATTGAAGATAGCGCTGTGTGGTGAAGAAATCAGACGGTGTCTAGCTATCAGAAAGTACAGCATCTGGGATCTTAACGGCTTGTTTTAAAACAAGTAGCCATCTAAGTGAGGTGTCAGCTGCTAAATCCACATGGAAGGAGCACAGTAATCTGTGTGATCCAAGGATTGTAAATAATAAAGTCCAAGATCAGAGGGGGAATTATCTTAGCGCTTAAACTTTGAGCACCTGGTTTTCAGAAGGCTATGGATGACAGTGAAAGCCCCATATAGATTGGCAAAGTCCCTGCGTAGAGTAAGCCTTCCTTGATTTACCATTAACTAGGCATGTGACTAGTCTTGCCCTCAAGCAGAGTGCATTGGGAAGTGGATCACTGCAAATATAGTTGGGTTAAAATTTAACATCTTATAATTTGTTTTCCCTATTAACCCACTTTTTAATTTGTTTTAGTTTCTATTATCTTATGCTTTCTCTTGGATTGAGGCTTTTCTGAGTTTTATTTTACTGTCTTGTTTTTGTTTTTTTGCATGATTTTCTTTCTATGAAACCCGGATAGGTAAATCTATAGAGACAGTAACTAGATTAACAGTTCCTTAGGTTTATGGAAAGGGATGTTGGGGGACAATAGGGGGTACAGTAATGGGTACAGGAATGAAGAACATGTTCTGATATTGATTGTGGTGGTGATTGCAACTCTTTTTAATATATTTAGCCCACTGAATTGTATGGTGTGCGAATTATATGCCAATAAGACTTAAAAAAAAAAAGAGAACAGGTTCTAATCTCATGGAAGTAGATATTATGGAATTATTCACAATTCTGAGTTTTAGGCACAGTTTTAAATTCTTCTGAGTCAACGATCATATGTTATTATCCATTGCACACACGAGTGTGTATATATGTGTGTGTATACATACACATACATGTATGTATACACACACACATATATATACACACATTTTAACACATATCTTTCGGGGACAATTCTAGTGGACCTGACATCAGTGGACACCCAAAGCAAAGAGCGGGAGATAGAAACCTACAAGAGAGTCCAAATGATTGAATCTGCCTATAAGGAGTCAGCAATTTATCACACAACTCTGGAGAATATTGAAAGAACTAAACAGCTGAAGACGCTGCCAATGATTCCTTTCAAAACCAACGATTCTCCCGGGGCTCTCTGTAAACTCGCCGTTCTCCTGAGGTAAGAACTTTGCAAACGGAAGCCAGGCCTGCTTCAGGTCTGCAGACCTCCCCAGTGAAGAAAAGGAATTAAAACAGGGCTGTGTGGTTTTCAGGAGAGTGACGAGAAACTTACTGAGAAATAAGGTGGCAGTGGCTATGCGGCTCACCCAGAACCTGGTCATGGGGTTGTTCATCATTTTCTTCCTTCTGCGGGTCCAGAACGATGTCCTAAAGGGTGCCGTCCAGGACCGAGTGGGCCTCATGTACCAGTGTCTGGGCGCCACCCCCTACACAGGCATGCTCAACGCTGTGACTTTGTGTAAGTGCCCTGTGGGTGGGAGACGTGCCCTGTGGTTGGGCCCCTCGCCCCAGATAGCTTCCTCTTCCAGCTGTCACTGTGCAGAATGTCACCATCGTCCGGGTGTTTCTCTTAGCTAAGCCCGGCCCGCTGTAAGTACATTCTCTGGGAAAGGTAGTGCATTGTGTTACCAGTAGCTTACTGTGAACTCAATCACTCAGTGGTTCTCTAGGGTCTAAGGTGGGGGTCCTCAAACTACAGCCCACGGGCCACATGCGGCCCACCAAGGACATTTATCCAGGTGTTTTTGCCCCCGCTACCTATCCTGCTTAGCAGCCGACGCATCCTGTATGCATAGGGATTTGTTCATAGTTTCTTTTCAACTACAGTCTGGCCCTCCAATGGTCTGAGGGACAGTGAACTGGCCCCTGTTTAAAAAGTTTGCAGACCTCTGGTCTAAGGAGATGGGAAACTGTGCTGTATTTGTGGAGCAGGGCTTGGGAGGGGCTTTTCAAAAGGCCATTCCTTCGAGCCTCTCTTGGTTGTTGGGATGGCCAACCCTGGGGGGGCACTGTTAGTGAGCCAGCTTTTCACCTTCAGGTTCTTTCTGGATTCTATTTTCAGACAGCTGACACCTAGGGTTCAAACTCTGTCGGGATCTGCTGCTTGGCTGCTTGATGTTATGATTTACACAGGCAGATAGGTGTTCGAGGGGTCCCCAATGTATCACACTAGGTCCAGAGCACAAGGGAAGGATGGTGCATCTGCATGGTAGTGCTAGAGAGGAGGTGGAGATGGAGGTCTGCCTCGCCGACACCAACCTTCCTGGCCCCGAGAGTTGGAGCAAAAGGCAGGCTGGGGGTCGGGGTGGCATGGTCCTGCACAGAAAGGGGAGAGAGGGCCTTAAACCCTCATTTTTGTCCTTTGTGCCTCCGCTTTCCTTAAATTGTTGACAGCTCCCTATTTCAGAGAGAAGGAACGAAATCATGCCAACTCCTGCGGCTGCAGTGCATGAAATTCAGGTGGAGAGCAGGTTTATGGGGTCAGCATCTTTATGGCCCTGTGGATGGCAGGTCCCCTTGTCCCATGATGAGGGGGCCTGCCCAGCGGGCCCTCACCATCCACCCGAACAGATCTTGAGTCCAGCTTTGGCTAGCCCTCCGCCCCTCAGCTGTGTGAAGACTGGCTGTTCTGAAACCTGCCTTCCATGCCCAGTCCCGGTGCTGCGAGCTGTCAGCGACCAGGAGAGTCAGGATGGCCTGTACCAGAAGTGGCAGATGCTGCTGGCCTACGTGCTACACGCCCTCCCCTTCAGTGTCCTTGGCATCCTACTTTTCAGCAGTGTCTTCTACTGGTAAGGGGGTGCTTGGTTACCACAGAGCCTCGCGTGGCTGTGGGAGGTGCAAAGGGTGAGCTCCCAGCTGGACCACTGCTCTGTCTGCTCTGTAGGATCTGTATTTGCCCATCAGTGTCCAGTCCTTGAGGACAAAACTACACGTGGCCAGGGAATAGCCTGTCCCACAGTCACCATGGAGAAGCAGGCCCTGAAGTAGCAGACCCTGGGCCTGTGGGGTCCACGTGAAGGGATAGTGAGTTGCCCACATTCTGTCTGCCTACTCCCCAGGCTGCTGTCAGCTGGAACACGGTGTTGGGCTGGGGCCAAGGGGAGCTCGAGGGAGAAAAGACTATGATTCGTTGGAAGGGAAAGTGGGTCAATGAGAGAAATCTTGCCTTTCACGCAGGAGACTCAGGTGGGATTCCCAGCCAGTGCACCTCAGTGCAGCCACCGCCCATCCCAAGGGGCGGCTTGAACATGTGGCTCTGGTGCTGCCCTTCTAGACGAAGCCAGGCCAGGACCTGTGAAAGCCAGCCAGCCAGTGCTGACTCCATGCAGGACCAGGGCCCGATGCGGCAGGGCAGGGCTTCCTTCCACTTTACCTGGGCTTGCCGGGAGTGGGGGGGCAACTTCACAGCAGCTGGTGGCAACGTCACATCACGTGGAACAGGTCTCAGCAGGGGCTGTTACCACTGGGGAGTGAAAGGCAGTGAGGGGGTTCCCATGTTTCCACACTGTTGACAGCCCCTGGGGCGGGAGGGGAGGAGAGGCTGAGAGCTCCCCCACCCTTACTTGTTGCCGTTAGTTGTGACCGTTGTCAGAGTTCCAGTTTTCTCGGGAGAGCTGACCTGTCCCAGGGAAAAGGTGGCTCACACTGAGCTGGAGCTCCGAGAACCATTTTGCAGTAAGAAACGGTCCCTGGTGTTGGCTCTGCCCCGAGGGGAGGCTGGCCTGCCCCGTAGACCCTTCTCGCCCGCTGACCATGTGGATGTCTTCTCTTGAGGTGGGTTCGCATAGCCCTTGGAGAGAGACGCAGACCTTCTGTTTTTCCAGGACTCTGGGCTTGTACCCCGAGGCCAGCAGATTTGGATACTTCTCTGCCGCTCTCTTGGCCCCACACTTAGTCGGTGAATTTCTAACGCTCGTGCTACTTGGTATCGTCCAAAACCCCAATGTGGTCAACAGTGCCGTGGCTCTGCTGAGCATCGCCGGAGTCCTGGTTGGATCTGGATTCATGAGGTAGGTAACAAGCTATCACGATGCAAACGACTTAGATGGTTAGGATGTGTTGTAATTGGTCTCCTGGTCACAATGGCTCGGATGGATTACCAGGAGAGAGCGCGCCAAGGGGTACTGGCTACAGGTCCCACCTTGCAGAGCACCACGCTGCAGGGTTTACAGTGCATGCTAGTCCTCATGCCCGTAGTTCACGATTCCCTCATAGATTTGTCTGTCTGTTGGCAACCAGGATATTACCATTTCCACTTGTTATTGATCTGTTTAACATGAAACAAGCCATTATAGTGGGCTGAGGAAAATTAAGCCATCTTGCAGGGAAAAAAGAACACAGCCCCATTTTACAGGCTCAATACTGTGCATAATAGTTCGTTTCTGTTCTGATGCTGTGGAGTCTGTTCTATTCCTCCATCTCCTGTTATTTCACGAAGTGAGAATAGTCGGATAGGAAAAGAGCCTGCTACCGACCATATAAAAGGCCGGCTCAAGAGGAACTCTCAGGGCATGTTCCAAGTGTTAGTAGTTCTTATCTGAGTGGTGTTCATTGTCGTCTTTTTCTTTGTAGTTTATTTTCTCTGGACTTGGTGACGCTTCTATAATGAACACAAACAGCAGACTAAACTCACTGCTATCCAGTCCATGTTGACTCACAGCACCCCCCTAGGACAGGGCAGAACTGTTCCTGTGGGTGTCCAAGGCTGTCACCCTTCGTGGTAGGAGAGAGCCCTGTCTTTCTCTCGAGGAATCACTGATGGTTTAGAATCTCGGGCCTTGTGGAATCACCACTGCTCCACCCGTAACCACTGCATCAGTTTATCAAGGAGGAATTGGACATGACATTTCAATAGTAGTAGCAGGTAGGGTGGACATTTCTAGAAAAGGGAAAATGATTCCAGGATGGTGGAATGTGTGGGAACAAGGAACTAAACTATGAGTCCTTGAGAAAATAGGTAGGCTGTGTTTCTTTGACTTGAGTCAAGTACAATGTACTGAGTATCCTGGTGGCGTCATGGGATAGGTGTTGGGCTGCTAAGCGCAAGGCTCCAAACCCACCAGTCGCTCCACAGGAGCAAGATGAGGCCGTCTGTTCCCTTCAGGGGCCACAGTCTCAGTCACAGCACACCCTCTCTGGGGCTGCTGAGTCGAATCGACTCAAAGGCAGTAGGTTTTTGGTTTCCTTTGGGTTGACTCTAGGTGATTATATTTGTAGGTTTCGTTACTTAACTCCCAGAGCCACCCATTTCCAGGTAAGCCAACTTAGTTGAGACTTTGCTTAGGTGATGAGTGGAGCTCCCTGGAGGGTGGATTAACCTAGGACTTAGCTGCCCTGTGGCCTCGGGCAAGTCACAGTCCTATCTTAATGAGCTTCCTCCTTTATAAAATGGAGATAATCGTTTGACCCCACCTAGCTCAAGGATCAGGAGTAGTAAATGAGTTCTTTATAGACTGTGGTGAATTACACAAAGGGGAGATGAGACAAAGCAAAGTGAGCAAATGATGATTTTTTTCCCCCCCAGTGGCACCATTACATTGTTTGTGTCTCAGCTGTTTACCTGAACTGTTAGCTTCTGTGCAAAAGGCACCAATCAAGGCACCCGAAGACATGGAGTCGAGTTAGCATTAGTACAGACCCAACCTCCCGCAGCATCCTCACACTCATCTTGGACTCCTTGCCTGGTTCCAGCAAAGGGACACTGTGCCACGCATTTGGATTTGTAGGAAAACCCCCACCCAAACCTACTGCCATGTGGGTAGATTCTGCCTCATTGTGACCCTGTGTAGGGCTTCTGAGACTATACACCTTTCTCAGCAGAAGCGGCTGGTGGGTTTGAACAGCCAATGATGGAGCACCTTAGGTTTATTTAGGACGGGGGAATGAATTGCTATTAAATGTGAGGCAATGGTCAACTATACTAATCGCTCTTGGGCACTCTGCACGACTCTCAGGATCCCCAGGGATTGGCACCTGGATTCTGCATAGCCCCAAATAGCTCCTGGTCGCTAAGTTTATATTTGCAAACCTCCTGCTCATTCAATGCCTGTTCCCCCCCACTCCCAAGTCCTCATCTTTCCTGCAGCATCTGTGCTATTTGAAACAAAAATGGAAATAGCTTTGCTGCTTTCTGCTTATAAAAGAACACATATTCATTGTAAAAAAAATGCACACAATACAAAAATGTAAAAACGTGCAAGGAAGAAAATAAGTTATCTGAAGTGTCACAGCCCAGAGTTGATTTTCTTTTGTATCTTGCCAGTATTTTATATACCGTATATACTTGAGTATAAGCCAACCCAAATATCAGCCAAAGCACCTAATGTTGCCACAAAAACTGCATTAAAAATGTGCTGAAAAACTCGGCTTACACCCAAGTATATATGGTATATATATATTTTAAAGCAGGAATGAGGAAATTTCATTGTGTAAGATGCAAAGGATGTATACTCTCTTCCCACATAGCAATAGGTAGAAAGTGTATTGTAGGTTGGTGGATTGAGTCCTCTCGTCAAAGTACTCCTCGGATGTCTATAGGCTGGCGAGGCGCCTGCCGCTCACTGCTCCCTCGGTGCCCTGCACAGGCCCCTTCTTCCCTGGGCTAGCATCCCTAGCACATCCGTTCTCCTCTCTAGGTGTCTTCCTAGATCCCTGCGCAGCACCCTTTCCAAGTAACAGTCTCTCAACAACGGCCTCAGGCCTAGGAACAATTATCAGGTTGGCACAGGACTGGGCAGTGCTTTGTTCTGCTGTGCAAGGGGTCACTATGGGTCAGGTCTGGCTGGACGGCACCTAACAACAACAACATGATTAGTTCAATTTTGTGCTGCAGAAAATGGCCCATAATTCATGGAGTTCTGGGATACAACTTTTGAGTTCTTCAAGCACCTAGAACTAACCCCTCACCCCACCGTGGTCAAGTCAATTCCAACTCATAGTGAGCCTATAGGACAGGGCAGCCTATAGGACAGGGCAGCCTATAGGACAGGGAAGCCTATAGGACAGAGCAGCCTATAGGACAGGGTCGCCTATAGGCCTACTCCCCAGAGCCTGGGGCTGTAAGTCTTTTCAGAAGCAGATGACCTCTTCTTTCTCTCATGGCACCTGGGCTGGTGACTTACTAAAAGAAATAATAAATATTTAATTGATAGCACACAGAAAATATTTAATTGATAGAAAGCCACAGGCCAGTGTGAAATTCCTCTTAGATTCTCTCCACCCTTTCCCCCTTGTAATCTAGTCTAGTGTTACTTCATACGCGAACACTCTTGAATCTCTTTAGCCACAAACACCCCCCTCCGATGCGATATAAGGTGCCTTGGTGGCATAATGGTTTACAAGTTGGACTGGCTGTGACCTGAAAGGTCAGGAGTTTGAAACCACAGGCTGCTCCTTGGGAGAAAGATGGGGCTTTCTACTGCCATTCAGAGTTATAGTTTTGGAAACCCACAGAGGTAGTTCTACCCTATTCCACAGGGTCACTATGAGTCGGCATCAACTCAATGGCAATGACTTTGTGTTTAATGTGGTGTGTGTTTTATTTAATGTTTATATCAGTGCTGGTTACAAAAAAGCCCCCCAAAATTAGACACCAATCCATCATGATTGATACCAACCTCTGATTTAAAAGAATGGACGGCTATGCTCACTGACTTGGAAATATGTATGTCTTAGGGTGGGGAAACAGGTTAGGAAAAAGCCCAAAGCATCTAATTCCGTTTATATTAACTTTACAAGCCCCCTCATGTATATTCATACACACCTATATATCTATATAAATATATACAGTGAAACCTGTGAGAGTTGGAACTCATTTTTATGAGTCTTACAGTCTCAGCACATTTCTGTTGCTAATTTTAGTGGAAATTTTGCGTTTTCATGCTCTCACAAGCTT